TTTGTTGAACATGCACCGATTCATTTATTGCCATCAACATAAAATGTATTCATAATCTTTGTGCAATAAAGACACCCCATTTATGAACACCAATTCATAGATTTTGAATTGAAAAAGATATAATTTATAATGGCATTCATTCCAAAGAATCTGGTGACCAATGGATGATTAGTTTTTCAACAAAAACTATTTTTATGCAAGCAGTTTCATTTAAATAAATTTACTAGATTTCCATGGCCAAACCATACAAGTAACCGAGTTCCAATGTATGAAAGGATGTGTTCTTTCATTTAATCGAATTTGGATATAACCGTCAATTAACTAAAGTAGTTATTGATGCATGAGAAAATGCAGATTATAAGGCTAGCAAATTTTCAGATCCATATTCTGCCTTAAATGACACTCAAATTTGGAATTTCACAATTATCCCTTATTCTTCACTAACTTTATTATTTGCTTCATGACATGATATTCAAGCAATATCTTTATTGATGGCATGAGTTGACCAGCAAACATTCAAAGAGAAGTTATTGGAACAAACATGCAGGCATCAAATTAGTCGGCTAATTGAAATTGTGTTTAAAAATTGAAGAGTTGTTATTTAATGAAACGGCATCATGCACTTGTTCAAAATTAAAACCAATTTTCATGGTTTTGACTATTTTTATGGAATAATTGCAGCCACATAATAATTCACAGATTCATTTCCAACCAACAGTAGTCATACCTTAAAGTGGTCTTATAGGCTTCAACCAATGCCATCGGAAATATGTCACAGAGAAAACGGCTTACTGATTTTCCAGAGTCAGATTCCGGCAAAAATTAGGACACAAAGTGCACCGAACAAATTGATTTAAAGACCCAACAACCACCGAAAGATTTGTCTTAAGATTGATGGTTCCGGCTTATTTGTGAGCAGTCAAGATGATTGTTTGTGAGTGCAAAGTTCAACCCGCAAGAGCGTAGTTAAACCACAATTTTATGAAGTGGAAGTGTAGTACAAAACCACAAAACCATGATGAAATAAGGAGTAGAAAAGGAAATCTGAGGCGAGTATAGCTCTTTCCTCAAGACGAATTGCCCCGCTACGGTATTTACAATTGAATGACAACGGATACAAACTTGTGGTAGCAACACTTCAAAGCACAAGAACGGCGAAATTTCAATGGAATTTTTCCTCTACAAAGGAATGTTATGAGAATGAGAAAAAGATGAATTGCAAGATAATAATGGATGCTCAATGCAATAGTCTACTCAGAATTACGTCCAAAGGGTCTTATTTATAGATGTAGAAATGGTGCAAATGAAGTAGTATAAGCCAAAACATGCATCCTTTCAAAAAGTTGCAACACTTAGCCAAAAATTTCTTTCAAAAAGTTGCAACACTTCATTTCTTCCAACTTTGGACTGTAATTTTTCATTCATTCGGAATTGATTTCGAAATTTCAAATATATCATGACGATCTACTCGACGAATAAAATAAGTTAGTCTATTTACATTTGTAATTTAACCATCGAATCAGTCTGAATATTTGGTTGAAATTGATACAAAGTCACACATTTTCATACTTAACCAAATTTTTTCAGTTAATTTGGTTGATTTTTGAACCAATTCCAACATCTAATATATGATAATCTTCTGGATTTTGCATATAACATCATTTTATTTTTTTGTTGATTGTTTTGCACTTAAAAATTCACCCAGTTATGATTTTCGCAGAAAATGGAGTCGATGAAGTAGAAGAAGGGAATATGTCATTAGTTTGAATTTTGTTAAAAAAATTAGTTAGGTCAAAAGTTAGTTTGTAAATTTTTTTTCTGTTTTTTAATTTTGCTACAGTTTAGGCAATTGACCTGAGGGAGTACAATCTTGATTCTCTTGATTTACTTGATCTTCTTGAATTGTCTCCAACTCCACATGTCCAGATTACAATTGATGAGTGGGCTCCAAGATCTCACCAAGAATTCTAAAACAAGAACATACTTCAAAATCACAAGACTCGTTACTTTTTTAGAGAGAAAAAAATTACTTATAAAAATTTCTGGCTTCCAAGTCTTTAAAGAGGTCTTTTTTTTCTTTTTTATCCATGAGGTCTTGGGTCATTGTAGTTGTATCTTAGGAACTTGAAATTTAAATTCTAATAAGTAAGCTATAACGCTTTTAAGAATATCGTCAAACTTATCATATATAGTCAAATTCGAATTTTGACTTTTATTTACTCCTTGTTGGTCCTCATTTTTAAAACTCATTTTCTCAATCATAAATTCTCTTAAGCAAAAATTGCACGCATTAATACTAACCCTTTGAATAGGGCCATAGATTCTGACCGCAATTATTATATACTATTTCGCTTACTTTCGATTTAACAAAGAACTTAGAGTTCACGAATAATAACTATTAATCCGTAATGGATTAAGATAAGTCTTTAAATAGTTAATGTTGAGTTTATTCTCTCTAGCACGGTCATGCATTAGAATTAGATTCTTACACAAAATGATCATGTCAATACACTTCTAGATACATTAAGTGTATTAGCATTAGATTCCCTAGACCCCTTCTTTACTATCAATTTCAAGAAAAAGATTCTACATAAGCCACTAAGGCATTATGTATGACTCAAATAGTCAATCTTTTCCTTCTCCTTATGGTCGAGCGGCTTCACTCCTTTTCTAATTGATGGAATAACAACTTCTTCAGTCTTAACACAAAAGAGTGTAGAACCCTCATCTAGCGCCATGGAGAATCAATTTTTGATCGAAATACAAAATAATGACATCTATATTAACAATCATATTTTATATTTCACTCGACACTAATTTATGCAAATAATCAAAATAATGCAATTCTCTCTTTTTTCTTTTTTCTTTTTTTTTTTTTATAAGAATAAACAAAACTTTATTATTTGTTCAATGATATTTGAAATGTTTATCATATTACTGTAAAATTTTAATGCTTTTGGATATATATTCCACCAACAATAGCAAAGAAAACCAAATGCGCTATATCCCTAAGTAACGACATAGTAAATCACTAAATTGTTTTCTACATCATAATTATTAAAGATTACATACGCTTATTATTGGTGAGTGGTGACAAGCCAATGTTTGTGGTTCCTAATAAAAGACGGAGGCATACTTACCTAAACTTAAGCATAATTATGAGATTTGTTAGGGAGTCTTATTTCTAAAGCAATAATGCATGTCAACCAATAGGCAATGGGCCTACCATGTTCGTTTTTGACTTTTTGGTAATTGAAATGCTATCTCTTAAAGAATGGTTCCATCCAAGCGTGCGTTTCTATTTGCATCTATGTTTTTTTCCATTGCTTCAAGTTTTATATTTCTTATTTTAGATCCCTATATGAGGAGCTATTTTATTATTAGTTTCTTGATGGCTCATCGAACAAAATTATAGAAATAGTTTTGCTACAAGTACAGAAAAAATTGACAAAATTTTTATAGATCAACACTTGGCAGATTTTTATTGATTTTTTACTCAACAAACACAGAAATTGCACCATACAGATGCTGTCGACACAGCACCTGTATCATTTATGTCAATAATTCCCTGTATATATGGAATTATTCTCATAGAAACTTGGAGTTTTCAAATTCTTTGTTTCAATCTCGATATTTTTCTTGGAATCATCGAATACACAGTTAATTTCTTATCATTATCTTGATTAGTTAGGAATTTTATTTTCATAATGGAGATCAAAGTCTCAAGAATTGGTATCTCTTTCTCTACCACCACTCAAAAGATCAATCTTTATTATTCGATTTCAACTAGTTCTATTTTATGAATCGACGGGTGTCGATTGAGATGGTTTGATATATATTGTAGTTCTGAAAATTTGGGGAAACTATTTATTTTTTACTTCTATGTTTATATTGGTTATAATATTTTTTTCAGTATATATATTAATTATTAATAAATAAATATACCTTCTCGATGGATTTACTAAAAACAACCTACGACTAAAGACTTGTTAATTATATATACCATAATACCAAGAACTTAATAATACTGGGGTAAATATCTACAAAAAATCTATTCAATTCCGATTAACCCCTAACAGATAACATGTCATCCTAATAAAATGCTCCAGAACGAAACCCTAAGTTGGAATATTTAAACCAACTTATAATTCAAGCCACATATAAAGAATAATTAGAAATTTCTAGCCTGAACTCCCAAGAGACATGTATATTAAATCATGTATACATGAATTTAACAAGATTGCATAAATTTATCATTCAACTCTCAATATGTTTGACATAAAATTAATCATTAAGTAGTAGCTAAACGGATTGTTTCATGTTACAATCGCCACCTTTAAATAGCAGTTCAGGATTCATTTGACAAGGCTTTTGAAATATCAAAAGTTGTTTATTAGACCGAAAAGAAGCACGTTTGGATAATTTTCTGAAAGATAGATATTTAATTTATTTCTTTTCATAATGAGCAATTAGGTCCCTATCGACACTTAAACAGTGATTTTGACTTTATTTCCTAGCTCGTTTAATGATGAGACCCTTAATTTATTCCTTCTTATAAGGAGCTTTTAGTTACCTATCTGCATTTAAGAGTATATTTTTAAGAGATTCTCTAAATGTGAAATACTTTTTATTTACATGGTCAAACCTTAAATATAAATTCCAAAATACTTTTTTTATTTTGATTTTTTAGAGTGAGTTTGACTCCTCTATATTTGAGGAGTCAAACTCACTCTTTATTATTTTTATTTTATCAAGGTTGCATTCAGTAACATTGCAAGTTCAAATACTTCACTAATTTATATACTCGAATATTTTAGCCAATTATACCTAAAAATATATATAAGTTCATTAAAACTGAGGAAAATAAATAAATAAATGCCGAAAAAGGTAAAATAAAGAGCAAAAATAAAGAATTTATCGCTCTTGAAATTTAAAGATACTTTCCATAATTGTCACGATATTTTTTAAAACAAAGAATCTCTTCAAGATGTTCTAAACAGTGATTTAGCTTAATTTCCTAGTTCATTTATTGATGATAAAATTTATTACCAAAATTTTCACCATCATGAATTCGGCGTCCGCTTACAAGTTACATGCATGTCACTTTGTTGAGTTCTATAATATAGCTGATAGCAGTAATGGACCCACATGAATTGAAAATGGTCCACTACCAAATTGGGTATGTTCAACCATGTGCGATCATATAGCGGTTGGCTCCTTATCCAACCCTACAACACAATCTTTTCACCTCGAAAATGAAATATAAAACACATTAATATTCGTTATATTATATCAAATTCACCCAAAAAAGATTTATTTATAAGTCCTCTTCACACGTTCATTCTTGATAATTCCTCGCACCGTTCTCTCTATCTGTCTCACACACAAATGCACATGCATGTTTGTTATAGGTATATAGTAAATCTTGTGTCAACAAGTCTCAACTGAAGTTTTGTTCATTTGAGCAAAGAGGTCCCTTTACTTGAAAGAAAATCTTCATCTCGAAGGGTAGTAGGAGGATTAGTTGCTTTCTCAATTCATTGTGAAAGAAGCTTTATCTTAGCTTTTACAAATAAAAGAAACACCCAACACGAAGAAACCCTACAAATTTTCTTTGATTCTCAATCTTCTCGGCCCGTTGCCTTCCATGACTACTCACCAGAGACTCCCCTCGAACCTCAGTTCAGTCAAATCTAGGTTTACATATCGGTTCCTTAAATCCCTGAACAAACTGAAAAAGAATAGATCTGCTTCACCATCTATCAGAGAGACTTACAGAAGATATCATTTGATTAGGGTTGCCTCCTATGCATCGATGGCTTCCGCGGTAAGACCGAGGAGAGCTTGGAGTCATGCGACTCTTTGGAAGATTCGTAACCGTACATTTCACCGTGCTTTGATGAAACGAAGCCGAACCCATTCTTCAATGAGAAGAGGTGCAAGAGGAAACCCTAGAGAAGAGTTAGGTTTTGGGCAGGTAAGTGATCTTCGGAAGCTTGTGCCAGGCGGTGAAGAAATGAAATTTTGCAGATTGCTGAATGAAACTGCTCACTACATAACATGTCTTCAAGCCCAAGTACAGATCATGAGAAACATTATAGATCATTCTTCCGCTTGAGCTGTACTTTCATCCATATATCGGTAAAATTCCATGTGAAGTAGATGACTTGGACATCGTATTACATATATTAAATTTACCCTAAATCTCTTAGGATCATTATATATATATTTTCGAAAATGATTTTTTAAGCATCGGTGCTTAACATAGCACATCATTTAATTGGTGAATAAATTAATAGTAGATTCCATATATTTAATGATTCACCAATTAAATGATGTGGTATGTCACCGATACTTAACATAAACTAAGCACCGGTGTTTAGGAGATCGTTCTTCTATATATTTCTTTTATATGTCTTTTAAATAAATTATGGCGTACAGTTATAGGAATATGGTAGTTATATAATTTTGTCCAGCTCTTAATTTCCCGGCTGCTGAATTTTCTGTCTTAGTAATTTTATTGCTGTTGGTTTCTATAAAAATTATATGGTTTGTTGTATATCGCTCCGGTCTCCAGCAGCCCAAGATGTCTTTTCAAGATCTGCCAAGAAAATAGAGTACAGTGGGCGTGTAGATGTTAAAGTGGGATAGGCCAAATTATGTAATTCAATCCCGTCTTTATTGTACTTTATATATTTTGATTATTAATACAATTAAATTACCACAAAGAGCGGCTTAAATTAAAATAATGATAAAAGACTAAACTCCCCTAAAGTGGACATCAGAGAGAGCAAGCAATTGTATGCGAGCCCACCTTAGATGGCTCATCCATTAGCTGCCTATGAGAAGCTCCAAGGGTTTCGTCTACGCCATCCTCTCCGTGTCAAAGAAGATTCGTCTTCGAATCAATAACTTCATCATCGCCTGATGAAGAATATCCCTAGAATGAAATGGAGTGCTTAACGTTGGAAAGAATTCCAGTATACGATTTGTGACACAAAACCACATCAGACTCAAATTTGGTCTAGAAAAGCTAACCACGAACCAATGCGAAACTCTTATAAATTAAAGAATGCAACTGAAAATTCAGACACTATATCTCTCTCTTTACTCACAGAAAGGATTGTATCTCAATCAGGAAAATCAGAAAGAACAACTTCTAACCAAAGGTTATAGAGAATTATGGAAGCCAAGAAGCATGAACGATAGAAATCAAATGAAATGACCTAATAGGACAACAGTGGAACAAATTTATAACCTTGCTGCCAACCATTGATCTCAAATTTGATCCAACGGACGAGAGCCTCTCAGCAATTAGAGTGGCTCTTGAGTAGCAGAGTAAAATTACATTTTTTCCCCCAAACAATGACCCTGCAGTACTCAGTGGTTCAGCTTTTGGGCCAAGACCAAAGTTACCAGGCAATTGTAACAGAGTTTGGGCTGAAGCCCATTTCATCCCTGCTCCTGGACCAATTGGCATCACAGCCCAACAACAAGCTTTGCTGAAAATGATTGAGAAAGCTGATGTCTCGATCGAACAGGATAAAAGTAGGCGATACACCTCTAGAAAGAATAACAACCCACATTAATAGCATCAACCGTCTTTTTACAGGCAATAGTGTACCATCTTCGAGAAGCAATCAACAGGGTCCAACCTAAGACGAAGGGAGGCTCGTCGAGCCCTACATCAAAGGGGACCCAAAACTTCTGGTATTTTTTTTTCCTTTTAAATTATCCCATTTCAAAGAGAGGAAATTACATCCCTAACCCAGTATTTGATATAATTTCATGAGTTACTTTGCCGTTAATTTTATATATAGTAAAATAAAAAACATGTAAATCGCCTCACTCATATTGAATAATGTTTTTCAATGTACAAAAATAATATATTTTAAATATTTAATATTATAATACAAATTTAATTAACCCTAATTCATTTTCATTACCCACTCTTCCTCTCATCGGCTCTCCCCACTCTTCCTCTTCTTTCATCAATTCAAGAGCTGGCGATGGAATTGCTCCAGCCAACACCACACCACAGCGCCTGTCGTCGCGAGACAAGCAGTTGGTGGTCAAAATGGTGCGGCTCACCTAATCAATTGTTTTGCTGCCGATGAATGGTATGCTGTGGGGAGAGGACCGACACCACTCCTTCACCTATCTCATCTTCTCTCTTGCTACATGAAGGAAACCAGGGCCACGACTGCAAGAGTACAACTTAGCGTTGGTCGTTCACTTGCAGTGTATTGAGGTGGTGGTGGCGTTGGCGATTTTGGGGATATTTTAGTAGTGGTGTGGTTTGGTGGTATGGCAGCGGCGGCCATGCTGAGTTTGGGGATTCTTTTTGTTGTTATGGTGTGGTGTAGAGATGGAAATGGTGATGGTGTTGTGGCCAGAATCTGCAGCTCCGTGATGGTAGTGGTGTGGTGTGGTGGTGTGTCGGCTGCGGTGACATTGAGTTTGGGAATTTTTTTTATTTATTATTTATTTTTATTTTTTTGTGGTGTGGTGTGGTGTAGAGATGGAAATGGTGATGGTGCTATAGCCGAAATCTGTGCTGTGGCTGGGATCTGCAGCTTCGCGATTTGGTAGGTTTTTGGGTATGCTTTCAATTGGTAGAGAGGGGCTATATTGGTGGTGGTGGTGGTGGTGGTGACGGCGACTTTGTTGGATCCGATGGCGGAAGTTACGTTGAATATGATGGTGGTTGTGGTTTTGTTGGTGACGGTGGTGTTGGATATTATAGGTGGTGAGTTGGTGGCGATGGTTATGGTGATATGTTGGTGGCGGCGACTTTTTGGATCCGATGGCGGAGGTTACGTTGAATATGATGGTGGGTGTGGTTTTGTTGGTGGCGGTGGTGTTGGATATTGTGGGTGGTGAGATAGTGGCGATGGTTATGGTGATATGTTGGTAACGATAGGTCTATCGAAGTGGTGGCATGAGGATGTGTTGATTTGAGGTGGTGATGTTGCCGTCAAGAGGTGGCAGTGGTGGTAGTTATGGCGGCGACGATGGTGTCGGCGGTGCTACTGCAAGAAGTGGCTAGGTGGTGGTCACAAGTATTGTGGAGTGTTTGTGACCAGTTGTTTGTGACCAACTAATGGGTTGAATGTGACAAATAATTGGTTAATTTGTAATAAATAAATAGTGACCTAAAAATTATGTTTGTGACTCAGAATTTATTAAATTGTGACCGAAAAATTAATCGTGATCAATTAATCTAAAAATTTGCAATGAAAAAATGAGTTGTGACCAATAAAATTTTTGATTCTATGACTAATGAATAATCTGTGACATATAAAATTTTTTTTCATGACCGAAAAATATTATGTGACCTATAAAAAATTTTATTTGTGACCGAGAAATAAATTGTGACCAATAATTTGATAAGTTGTGACTAAAAATTAATCCATAACTAATTAATTTTTTGATTTGTAATCGATGAACAAACTGTGACTTATAAAATTTTTGAATTGTGATCGTAAAAATATTTGTGACATAACATTTTTGATTTGTGGACAAAAAATAATAAATAACTAACTAAATTGTTAATTTGTGACCAAATTGTATAATCTATGACCTAAATATATTTAATTAATAAAATAATTAATTAACTAATTAAATCATAAATTAATATTAATAAAAATCTGATTTTTTGAAGTTTAAAACTTATTTTCTTAATTTTGAATGTGTGATACTTAAATTCTTATTTATGAAATTTTTCTTAAAGGAAATGAAGTGCAGATAACAAATGATGGTTGGGCTAAATATTGGGCTTTTTCTTATGCTAGATGGGCTGACTCTGTTGGGTCGGGTGGTTAAGCACTCAAATTTGTCTACCTTTGAGATGATTGAAATGTGGATATGAGTCCCTATTTGTCTACCATTATTCAATGAAACTAAGTTTTGGAATTATGAATTTTTAGAGAATATATAGCTAAAATGCCAAAAAAAGAAAAGGAAAAAAAAAGAATTGTGAGAATGTGTGGTTGGAAATTAGGATGACACGTAGTATTTGATGTAGAGAGATAAAATCACTTTTTTCCTCAGAAATTATAACTAGTTATATTGACGCAATCAAACTCTTAATCATCCAGAAATAAGTATGAATCTACTTCAAGCAATATTCGTTGGGGCTTTTACTTCAAAGCATGAAATAGACCCACCTTCACATTCAAGTGATGTTCCACATCGTTCTCACCTTGGAGAATCGAAAATGAAACCTCCAACTTGATAACGACTGATGTAGAGACATACAATAACTTTTTCAAAAGCTATAGCTAATGGGAAACGCTCAATCAAATCATTTATCATGCACTATTTATCTGATGAATCCCTTTGTGACAATAGGAATATATGTGTCGATCTCATGTGTTTGATTTGATGAAACGTTTTGTGACCTTTACGTCTATTCATAGTACCATCAGAATTGCTTTTAACTCTATATACCCACTCCTTTGAATTTTAGACTGATTAAATTACTTGTTTGAGTTTTTTTTAGCTATGGTACTCTTATCGAATCTTGAAATTTCATCCGAAAACTTCAACATCTATTAAAAAGAGTAAATCAAAGTATCTACATATTTATTATTGTTCTCGGATTTTTGGAATTTATACACTAGACAATCACCAACAATTAAAACGTGCAGAGGACAATTGTCGACGGGCATGCAAAGCCAACTGGGAAGTTACAAAGTTGTGGTGGGAATTCAACATATTGGAATTTCATCCAGAATTTAAGTGGCTGGCAATAAAAGTTGATATGGTTATGAACATTTCTTTGTCTGATAGAAGTTGTGGGAACCAGATTCAATATTTGAAGTGTCAATTGTATATATATCGAGCATCAAATTAGGCATTTAGGTTTCTAACGTTTGATTTTGACGTTTAAACTACTAATGTTTCGAGTTTATACAAAATTTCATAATGAACCACTTCCGCCCATGTGACGGTTTTCGTGATGCCTTTATAACACCATTTGCAGGGGAGAGGCTAAACACACATAGTTCTAACCTCCCCTA